TCTCTAGAGAAACAGAGTCAATAGAAAACATAAAATTAGGTATGTTTACAGAATCAGGTGCAAGAGAATCCATCAGCGTTGACTGCCTGCAGGAAGACAGGTGGAAAATCCAAGATGCAGCAACAGTCCAAGATGGTAGGCCTGGGAACTCCCTGGAGGGTGGCCTGTGTGAGTCTGTGTTGGAAGGATGAAGAAACAGTAGTCCTGAAGACCAGTGTCCAAGGGCGATGGCAGCAAAGAGAAGAGCTGCTTGGGAAGACTGGAGTCCTTCTAGACCAGAAACACTTCCTTTTCCTTCCCCTTTTTAATCTGTCCAGGCTACAAGCCTATTGGTTTGTGCTACTCACAGCTGCAGTGAGTCTTTCCCTCTCAATTGGCTGACCCACAAGTCACTCATTCACAGACACACCCAGCTCTGTGCTTTACTAATCTTTTAGAAATTTTATTCTATTCAAACGGGCATATCTTGATCAATGGTCCCCGCTTAGGTATTTTTAAAAGGATATAGAGTAAGTTTCACATCTCTATTCTGAAGGGGCTAAGTGGAATACAAGTCAGGGAAATAACAGAGTATAATTTATACACAGGAACAACTTGCAAAAAAAAAAAAAAAGCCTTCGACAGCAGTGAAACAAAAAACTTAATGACACTATAAAAAAGAAACTCTATAAAGAATCAGTGATCCTCCATAGTAACTGTACATAAAAATCACTTTGTGTTAGCCTTCTGTTGCTGCAGCAAAATGCCTGAGATAAACAAGTTAAGAAAGAAAGGGTTTATTTTGGCTCATGAATTCAGAAGTTTTAATCTATGGTTGGCTGGCTGTATGGTTTTTAAGCTGTGACAAGGCAAAAACAACATGATGGGACAGCATGGCGGAGGAAAGGTGTTCTCATTATGGTAATCAGGAAGCAGGGAGAAAAAAGAGACATCCCAATAGTATCATCCCATGGGAGCCAAGCCTCCGATTTGAGAGTTTTATGGGGAAATTGCAGGTCCAACCTATAACACCTCTGAGACCATTACAAAAAGGACCAAGGTGAAACTTTGTCTACTCCCCAGGAGATTCCCCTTCAAAAGGCCTGGATGAGACTCACAGACAGACAAGTTTTTAACAAGATTACACAATTTTTCAATGTGCAACCAGGGATAAGAATTCTTCACTAAACCAAGAGAATTCAAGGTAGATTCTCTTCTTTCCTACATCATCCAGCCTCTGCATCCAAGGGCAGAATGTTCAGCAGAGAGGTCTTCAGACACTCGTTTATGGCTGACACCTGCTCACAGCCTCACCCTCAGGGTAGAGCCAGTGATTTTCAGCTTTGTTCTGGGCAGCTGCTCCGGGGTGCCCTGTTGGCTTCCACCTCCTCTTAGCACTGCCGTCAGTCCAGAAACACTGCAGAAGCTGAAGTGAACTTTTTCTATTTGTTTGTGTGGCAATAATCTCAAAGTCTCCGCCAAAAGAATGTCCTTGGCCTCTGACAGGGCTGCCTCTTGATGCCTGCGTCCATTTTAAATAGGCCACAAACTAGCCCAGGAATAGTGCCCTCCACCAGGAGCCAAGCTGCTCGACAAGCCTATACCAGAAGAGAGAGATGGGGTAATTTAAATCTGAGGCTGTTTTCAATTTTTTTTTCTATTATTTAGTTCAAAGGAATGCAGGGACTTGGACTTAACTATAGAGAATAGGTCAAATGGAGATTGATTTGTGTGACAGATATTTTCAATTTGGGAGAAATTTTGACTTACATACAACAATGAGACCTAGAATTATGGAAAAGGATCAAGGGCTTATGACATTTGTTTTTAAACAAAAGGTCTAATTATTGGGAGACTAATCTACCTTTGAAAACCCTGGAATACAGATAAAGGCCAGATCCTTGAAACCTTAGAAAGGAACAAGAAAGCAGTGAAAAGGAAAGCAGAGTTCCTTTTTATGTGTAAAAGAAGAGAAAAATAAAAGTCTGCCTAAAAATAGCACAAGTTCAATGATGAAAAGAAACAGATATTAATGAAAGGTGGTAAATCTGGCTACCATGGGAACAAATGAGAAGTATAAAACTACTTTTTTACTGTGGGTTCTGCCCACAAATGGAATGTTGGCTATGTTCAGGGAACAGTAGAAAACACAAGCTCCCTGTCGTCATGAAATCTGCCACCTAGACGAAGAGAAAAATGCAACGTTAAATAGCCAAAGGATACAGAAATCCCAGCACCAAGCTGAAATTCGGTAGGCATTTCATGAAGACAGAGAGTAAATGTGATTGAGCTCTGGGACAGGGTTCTTCTGGCCAACCAGGGATGGGTTCTCAGGGATGTGAGACAGGGAGCCCCATCTCTGAGAAGGGATAAGATGCAGGAGGCAGGAGAGCACTGAGGCACATCCCGGTTTAGGGAACATGAAGAATACATTGAAAAGCCTTTGTTCTAGGATTTCCCTCCTCCAAAGAGCATCAACTCTGCCCTTATCTGGATAGCGCCTACCTAAGAAATTCAGTCTAGAGCAAGATCTTCAGAGAAAGACAGTTTTTCATGGGGTTTCAAAACCTGAGGGATGGAGAAAAAATGGAAAAAAATTTGTAAGCCTCCTCTCACATGCAGCATTTCTAACATGTAACCATTTAACCTTTGAAAATGAAAATACCAAATCAGCAACTCTATATGAATATCATTATCGCTTCCAGTGTAAGAACAGGAAATAGAGAACCAAAGAAGTTTAAAAACTGTTCTAAGCTCACAGAGCAAAGCAAATTAGTAGAAATTCTAGGAAGCCACGGAGGTGATGAGTGAAATCAAAGACAAAATGACGTCGGACTCAGGCATTCTTGAGAGAGTCAAGTCACCCTGCCACCCTCTAGCTTTGCTCTGTGGGTGTCCTTCTTTCTTGATCCCAAATTTTACTCACATTCTCTAAGGAGTCCTTAGATTGGAAAGATATAAAGTATTATTGGGGGATCTGGAATGTCTCCCAGGACCTTCTACATTGGTCTCCAGAGCAACAGTATTTAGAGTTGGGACTTTGAGAAGTGATTGTATCATGAGGGTTCTGAGCTCAGTAATGCTTTAATGTGTTTAAGGGTTATAATTTAATGGGCTAGTGGAGGCATGGAAACTTCAAACCTACTTGGAGGAAGTAGACCATTGGAGAAATTACCTTGAATGATATATTTTTCTCTTTTTCTCCATCTGCTTCTCTTCACCATGAGCTGAGAAACTTTGTTGTCACACACCCTCCCCACTATGATGCTCTGTTCCCTGCAAACTCAGAAACAATGGAACCAAGTAAACTTAGACTGAAATTTCTGAAACTGTAAGCCACAATAAACCTTTCTTTCTTTAAATTGATGTTCTCGGGTATTTTGTCACAGTATAAAAAGCTGATTAATAGAGGCTTCTGTGTGTGCCAGGGATCCCACAATTAGCATGGAATAGAGCTCAGATTCTGGGATTTTATGTTCCCCATGCATGGATCCAGCTCTGAGGAGAGCCTGGGTAAATAGGTGGAGCTGCTGTGTATGCTGGCTCTGGAAACTGGTAGAAGAGTTCAGCTTCCTGTCAGTCATCTGCACCACCTGTTTTCAGAGACATGGGAATGTCTGCCAATTGCTACTATTTTGGATTTGGAGAAGACATGGAACAGGACAGCAGAGTATGCCATTTCACATGTGGCTTCTCTCTCTCTCTCTCTTTTTTTTTTTTACCCTGAGCCAGCTATTGAAAATATTCACTGACAAATAGAGTAAACCACAGACTCACGACCCTTTACCCTCACACCCATCTCAGATTTTCAGAATAAGAGCCAAAGTGGAAGTATGCCTGGCATCTGTCTAAACAATGATGCAAAGAAAATATTGTCAAAAAACATGACCCATCACAGTTATAGCCTCTGCGCTGACTCAGAGGGAAACTGATAATATAGATAATTAGTGTCTGCAAACTATAGCCTCACAGAAGTGGGCTCTACACCAGCTGCAGGATCAGAGTAGAGATGCTATCTTTGCCACTCTGTGGTGTCTCTGATCAATGAATAGGAATATACAAACCAGCCTTTTCAATATGCCAAAAAGGATCCAATTCCTACTGCTTTTAAGGGAAAGCTACTGATAGTTCATTAGGCCAAGTCAACTAGGAATAGAACACAACTAAGTTTTTTTCAACTTAAAGGCCAGTTGCCACCAAATCTTCTTCCCAGGGACACAGCCAGAAATGTTGTCATATTGGGCAGAAACTGATCTAAATAGCATCCATTCCCATACACACACACACACACACACACACACACACATACACATACACACACACGTACACATATATCTTCTCACGCATGTACACATCATGGGAAACATTGAATACTCTATATTAAAATAAAATCCTTTCTATCCTATCATTTAAAACTACTTTAAAACTTTATAATTATTGTTAAATAAAAATAATCATGTAGACAGCTTTATTTAATGCCAAATCTAAAACTTTAAAACTGACTAATGCAGTGTTTTCTTTTCTCTAAGAGATTTATTCTGTCAGCTTCTGGGCACTTTAAAAGGCTTCTACAAGCTAAACAAAGGGTTTAATCAAGCTGCCAGCCTTTTCTTCTTGCAGTTAGTGCAGAAACAAAATACAAAATTAAATCCAAGAATTTCTCCTTTCTAAAATTTAAGAATGATACCAGATTTGCCACAAAAAAAGTAAACATTTGCCAGTAAAATAAGCTAGTTGCAGTCTTACCTCAGCTCAGGGTATACTTACTTTCTATAGTAATTATCCAGTAAATTGTACAGAATAGAAAAAGTCTGCAACCAGAATCCCAACTGAAACATTGAACCCAACAGATGCATGGAAAACTTTTGCCCAGTAAGTAACAAGTGTGACCTATTATCTTCAAAGTCCACAGGTATTTTCAGTGCAGTGGAATGTGTTATTCAGTGACCCTGACCTACACCCACCACTCCTGCTGAACACAGAGGCACAATTTTTTTCAATTTTTATTTTAAAGTGAATAATGCAAAGCAAAATAAAACAGAATAAAGTCAATAAAACAAAACAGTGTAAGTGACTCAGGACTTCAAAACAAGATAATAGGAAATCAATAATGGTTACCATAATGCCTCTTGTCTTCAACATAACTGTCCATATCTTCAGACATAGTAAAAATCAAACAAAACAGAACAGAATAGAACAAATAAAAGCAAAACAATGAATGTAATAAAGGACTTCAGAACAAGATAATAGTAAATCCAAAATGGCCACCATAATATATCCTGTTATTTTTGAAATAGCTTCTCATGCCATCAGATATAATAAAAACAAACAAGACAAGACAGAAAACCCAAACCAACAAAACAATGAAAATGATACATGACTTCAAAACAAGGTAGTAGAGAACTAATAATGGTCACCACCTTCAGAAGGAGATCCCTCAGAGATGCCACATTTTGTATTGTTGTCTTCTAAAAATATGATCAGATTACCGGTTTTAGGCCTGCAAAGTCAGTGAAATACAACACTACAAGCATTAAGCTATATTTTACCTCAATAGCCTGTGTATCTCTGGATCATATGGTCACTCTTGGTAGGGGTAGGGGGGATTGGCTCTTTTTGCTTTCCGGTCCATGCACTAGAAGGGGTTGGCATCTGGTTCTCCCCACAGTGTCCTGTGCATGGCACCAACTCCTCGTTTACTTCTTGTCTTCTGCCCCTGCAGTCTGTGAATGGTGCCAACTCATGGGAAAAGGCTGGCAGCTGGTCCTCCCCAGAGGGGCCTGTGCAAGGCACCAACTTATAGGGAGAGCTTGCTTCTTGTTGACTTCTTGTTCCCCTGTGGTCCACAAATGGTGATTCAGGGGGAAAGGCTGGCATCTAGCTGTCCCCCTAGGGGTCCATGCATGGCACTGGCTCACAGAAAGAACTCACTTCTTGTTGACTTCTTTTTCTCTTTCCCCACAGTCTGCAAATGGCATTGACTCATGGAAAAAGTCTGGCATCTTTTCTTCCCCTAGCAGCCTATGCATGGTGCCCACTTGCAGGGCCAGAGGTAGCTTTTGTTGAAAGTGACTAAGGTTTATGAGAAAACTAGAAAACCTTGACCCAGAGACACATCATCATCACCAAACCTTGAGCCACATCCTGAATGCCTTCACATAATGCCCTCCTACATTTTTAAATTAATTCTGATTTCTAATCTTAAATTGTTCTCAGTGTACCCAGTCATTCATTATCCTTTCCCTGATAGGATCCTTTTTTTATTTAAAGAAAGACAAAACAAAATAAAAAATTGGCAGAAATAATACATACTTTCAAAGAAAAAAAACAGTAGCAAATCACTAATTGATGTATACATATTGTCCCCCCACAAATAGTTGTTCAATATACAAAAGTGGAACACATAAATGGAAATTCAACCAGGGAGACTGCAAACAGTTCTGTTCAACTATCCAACAAAACCTAAGTAATGTGGCTATCAATCCTATACACTTAGACATGTATGCATTTATCTATATCTTCATTTATGTTGAGACCTAACAAAACTTATTAGATTAAAATCTTTCTGAACAAAGATTAATAATATTGCTGGATTTCACATCATGACACTCCGGAAAATCAGCACTGGGTACTGCAGTGCCCCTTTCTTTCCTTCGAGGTATTTGTTCATTTCATCATGTGTCATAAGATCAGTTCTCATAAACTGTTTATAGGTTTTACACAAGCATGAGTCTTAACATGTATTACTATCCTTTCTATATTACAGGGAGAAACAGAACAAAGCAGGACAGAACTAAACATATTCCTATAGACACATAAAACTAAAAAGATATATAAAACGGCTGTATTAGGAGTTCTACCATGGTCACTGTGCTGTTTCTTGTTATCATCAACAGAACTGGCTATATCATTAGATAAAGTATAATTGACCATATCAGTACATAACAGAATTAACAGAAATACAACTTTGTAGATAGTGTAGAGCTACAAAAACAGGTAGTAATCAGAATGGATATCGTGGTGAATCACTGTCATTTTCAGTATAGTTGTCTATACTCCTCAACTTGATACCAGCAACCCAACAGTTTGAATAAAATCTGTCAATAATAAGCAGCAATAAAACAAGTCAGATTTAACTAAGATCAGTCATGATACAACAGTATAAGTCATACAGGATCCGGATTGAGTTAATAGGAAATTAAAGATGACCACTGTGCTATGTCCTGATATCTTCAGGACAGCTGTCTTTCCCCTCAGATCCAGTGCTTGTAGACAAACTAGGACGGAGCAAGTTCCAACCAAGCAGAGTGGTGTGATTAATAAGGGTTTTAATTCCTGATACAATATTAGCTATACCTTCTGCTATTTTTTGAAGACTATTCCTCCCCTTTACTCCCCCAGAATGAACTGTGTATTTTTGGGTCTCCCCAACACTCACGGTTTTATATTGAGGGGCAACCTGCTATTTACCTAAGTGTTTCCAAACTTTCTCACTCCTGGACTGGATTTCTAGTTATAGTTCTTCATTTATTAAAGCCTGTCTGTTCAACCTATCCATAAATACTGGCCCAGTTACCCCTACTACTCTCTGGTTCCCTATCACATTGAGTTCCGTTTTCTCATATTTGATTTTGGTCCATATAACCTTCTTCAGGCTAATTATATTTCCTATAAAGAGCCTCTCGGTGGACCCTGCCTCTTGATCCACTCTGCCTGAGATTCTTTCTTTTTTTCCCTTAAGTTAGTGTATCTAGGCCATCTATATTAGTAAAAGGCAAAAGATTTATACAATCTGAAGAGAAACCAGAGTATAGGCCATCTATATTAGAAATTATATCCAATCTTCTTTGCCTCATTTTTGTTGTGCTCTTTTTCTGACATTAGTTGTCTGTTTCTCTTCTTCATTTTGCTTTCTGCTCCATTCATTGAGGCCTCTCTGCCACATGGAATCCTGGCACTTTTCTCTCTCTTTAGAATGTCCTACAGTATTCTCTGTAGAGTTGGATTGGTGGTTGAAAATTCCCCCAATTCCTCTTTATCTTGGAAACACCTTGTTTTTCCATTAATTTCTAGGGACAATTGTGCAGAATTTATCAGTCTTGGCTGGAGGTTATTGTCTTTCAAGGCTTGGATTATTTCGCCCCATGCTCTTCAAGATTTGATGGTTTGTGCCGAGAAGTCTGCTGTAATTCTGGTGGGTGTTCCCTTGTAAGTGATCTGTTTCTTGTCTCTAACAGCTTTTAATATTCTGTTCTTATATTGGATTTCTGGAATCTTGATTATTATATGCCTGGGTGTAGTTCTGTTTTGATTGTAGGTGGCTGGAGGTCTGTATGCCTCATACATTTGAGCATCTTTTCCTTTTCCCATTAGTATTTCTTTAGTTTAAATGAAATTTGTACAGTTGTGTTTCATGTTCAAATAGGAATAAAATTTCCTCAAGTGTGGTAATTTTAGTGTAAGTTCTTTCTATAACAATCAGTTATACTTATCTGAATTAAGCGATCAATTGTAATGAAGAAAAGAAAAAATTCAATACAAACACCACTAGATAATTATTACAGTCCTGACAATGACCTAAAGTTTAATATTCACTAACTCACATGACCCCCTGACAACCTTTTAAAGTAAGTGGTATTGTATCCTTTTATAGACAAAGAAAGTAACCAAAAGTCAAATTTCATTAACAATTGATTGCTTGTTTTAGTTTGGGGTATTTTTGTTTTTGTTTTGATACAGGGGCTCTCTGTGGTTCAGATTGGCCTTAAACTCACTATGCATGAACTTGATTCATTCTGCCTCAGCCTGCTGAATGATGGGATTAGTTGTGCACTCTCAAGCTCCATATCACTGACAACTGAGTAAGAGATTCTAATGGTTCCATTTGAGTTTTATTCATAGTCTTTCCTCTATATCACATAGCTTATTAACTTATTTCCAGAAAAAATAACAATCATATCATGGTAGCTACAATAGAAAAAATCAGTGTCCAAGGAAAAGCTGAAAATTTAAACTCTTCTTCAACAAAACAGGAGAATCAAAGATAGTTAGTCCCAGGGTATAGAAAACGGAGATGAATATCTTTAATTTCAAGAAAAAGGGAAAAGACTAAAGATGAGATCTATCCTAGAGATAGGTATTTGTAATAAAGAAAGAAGATTTAATTCCAATATTGCTTATTTAATTCTGCTACATGTCTAAATACTCTGCTGTAGTTTGGATCTTAAATGTCTCCCAAAGACCCACACATAAAAGACTTTGTCCCTATAGGGAGCTAGGGGAACTTTAAGAGATGGAGCATGGTGAGTGACCTGTGGGTCATGGGGCCAGGCCTTGAGGGACCATGGAACCCTGCTCCTTTCCTCTTTCTTTCACTTCTGAACCATGAAGGAAGTAGTTTGATTTCACTATCTACTTGGACCATGATGTGCTGCCTTGCCCCAAAAAATAATATCACCTACCACGGACTATAACCTTTAAAATGTGAGCCAAAATAAATGTTTACTTTCTATAGTTGGTTAACTCAGGTATTTGTTTTAGTGCTGTGAAGCCAATTTACACACCCACAAACATAGAGGTGTTTGCCCCATACCTTTCACCTATAGTTCTAACAGAAATTATTTTATTGCTAACATACCTAATTGGTGGTGATCACCTCCACCAAAATATGTCATGCAAATTGTCCACCTTCATATATTTTAAGATTATCTGCAGTCTTTTATCAGATTGAGAATCATCTGGCTCACACCAGATTGTCACCATCTAATATCCCAAAGTGATGGAAAATGCTAGAAATTAATGAGGGGTCAATTACCCCTCTTCTTCGATATCTCCCTTCAACTAAAACATTAAATTTAAGTACTACAGTAAAAAAAATTCTTATTCTAAGAAACTAAAAGAAGAAACACTTTGCTTATTTGACCTGTACATGTTACCACTCCTACCTACATTTATAATATTTTGATAGATAACAGGAAGATGAATCTCCCAAGGATCTTTGAAGAACATACTTAAATATTTCAGAAATGCATGGAATTGTTTCCTGAGTGACAATACTATAGTTAGGAACTTTCTTTCAGAAGGAACATGGCTGCGTAGGGAGGAACAAGGCCACACAGCTAATCTAAAGACAAGCATGATGAAAAGCAAAAGGTGAGCAGCTTGATTATCAAAATAAAGTCATCTGCATCATTTTTAGGTGCTGCATGGCCACATGACATTATCTGTGGAGGCTCCATGAGATAGAATCGTCACACACAGAAAATTCAGCATCTAAGTAGAAATTCAACTTGCATACATTAGGAAATCTATGATAGTTTGTGGTAACCCTAATAAATGGGGAAGGGAAGGACTGCCTACAGTGATGTTTCCATCCTCACCCTTCAAACTCTTGTACTCATTGCAATTGCACAACTATCTCTACATCAATGATAAATGAACCATCACTCAGAAAATCTATGCTAGATTTACGGGTTACAGTACAATGGATAAAAAAAGTCACATTCGAATCTTGACAACACTACCACTCACAAGTTTTGCGATCTTGGACAACTTCTTACCCCTGAACCTCTGTTTCCCTCTCTATAGAATGAAAAGTAACAAGAGCTCCTGCACAGCTGTGGTGAGAATTGAGTAAAATAAGTGTAATAGAATAACCAGCAATCATGTATTAATTCCTGTCTAAATGGTCACAGTATCCAGAACTTTCTTACAAGAGTCACAGTTGAGAAATGAACTCCATACTGTGAACCCTCACTCCCTTTCTACAACATTAGAGATGGAGATAGAAAGAGTTCAAGGCAAAGAATGATGAGGTGGATGGAGACAGATTTCCCAAATAGGGAAGAAGAAACAAGTCAACTTGGTATCAAGAAAGGAGTTTAGATAATTAAGAAGACTGTTATATTCTTCCCTTTGGGATTGGGCTAAGACCAGAGCCATTGTGTTTTGGCACCCAGTATCAGACATTATATTCACTGTCTGTAATTGCTCTTTGATGTACAGGTCTAAACTTTAGAATGACATTAAGCAGCTATGAGAAAGAGCCAAGAGCAAAAATTAGGATGCCAAATTCACAAGTCCCAAGTCTAAATCCCTCTGCTAGATCTATTAAGACATCGATGATTCGTTGTCCAAGTTCTGGTCAGCCTAAGCCAAGCCTGAAAAAGGGCAAGGTGTGGTCCCTCTTCCCTTGGGACAGACATTTCTAGCCAACCTGTAGAAACCTGACAGCTCGGAGTCTTTGCATAAAGGGCATGTCTCGGAGCGGGCCTGCTGGTGTAGCAAACTTCCAAGAGGCCTAACACTCTGCTCACATAATGGGCTCCACATGCAGCCACAGCTATTAATAGCAGCAGCCTGTGTGTGTTTTGTTAAAGCCTCTAGATCATATTTCTTCACTTTGCAAGTCTATGTCCTACAATTGCTCCATTAAATTTTGCCTCCCTTTCCTCCTGCTCCACATTCTTGGAAATTCACAGTCAACTATGCAAACAAATATACAGGATTATAAAAATATTTTTAAGTCATCATTTCCCCTCTCTGTTTTTCTTCTGCTTCCCTAAGTGTGAATTTCTATAGTATTGGCTTCCTGGAAACTTAGATCTGACAAGGGAGGGCAATGGGACAGATGGTGAATTTAGCAGAAGGGACAGGAAGAAGCAAAAAGAACAGCAAGCTGGTTAGCTAAATGTCCTCCTAAATGAGTGGAAACTAAGCCAGAAAATGGCATCAGAAAAGCAAGAAGTCATTAGACAAAGTAAGTACAGACTAAAGGGAAGACAAAAGAGGATCAGGTGACTAATCAAAAAATAAAAACTATTTACCTGCAGAACATGGGGAGACAAAAACAGTTCCATCCTCTGATAAAGCAGAAGACAGAGAACCCGTGTACGAATAATGTCATAAGCCATGTCCCGGCGGCCCTGTCCCCCTGCAGTGCAATCTAGAGGATTGTTTTACCAAGTATTTTGCAAACGCCAGCTCTGGACACACATTTTCTGTAAGGAGACAATCCCACATCGTCTCATCTTCTACACATGTTTAGATAAGTGTAAAGTCTTCTTAAAAATGTGGAAACCTGTGTTGGCTATTCGTCTTTTATATAATCAGAAAATAGTGGGCTGAATCTCAGGAAGCTTTGACTGTCTTAGATGTCAACTTTCTATAGGTTGAGGAGAGAATAGTTTTTAGATCCCATGATACAAAGTATGCTAAATGGCAGCTTAGGGTCAGAATCATGGCTTTCATGTTGTAAACAGCTTAGATTACCTTCTATTCTCATTTAGTTTTGAGTAGAAGTGTTTTACAAAGAAAACTGCTCCCTGATCTTGGCTCCCATATACTCTCCATGACATCTTTGGTCATGATCATCCATTTTTCCTGGTATCTTTATTAATATTCCGTGAAAATTAAAATTTTGAATAGGTAGAGTAAATGCATTTTGCATTACAAATTCTTGGGACATAATAATGACCAAATGATTCATAATACCTGTGTACTGATCCTTCAAATAAACTAACACAATTTTTGAAAAGCCACATGCATATTTGGATTTCTTTCCTCAATTCCTCATGATAACATGAAATGGAGAGTAGGATCCATAAGGTCTTGAGTTCAATTTCCAGTACAAAAAAAAAAAGAATAGTGTCCTTCAGAAGAGAAATTTTTAGCCCAGTTTTTGTTTTGGTTTCTGCTAAAATTAGTAGAATTTACTATAGCCTGGGTTAGTGCCTACTCTTGCTCGATCCCTGTAATAATGCGAGTTAGATATGATCTCATTTTACATGCAGTAAGATCAGGCTTCGGGAGAGAGAAACTTACCAAGGATTACACAGCTTGCAGACACCTGGGGAGGAGCCAGATTTACTCCACAGCCTCAGCCTGTTACCCGCTCAGACACACCGGCACCTGCAGCACAAGTTGAAGATTTCTGGAAGCGTTAGGATGTGACTGTGAATGTATAAATCCTTAGAGCGTAAAACTAACTTAATCCTCTTCCCTAAAGCCCCTGAATATGGCACAAGGGTTTTGTAATCCCCCTTTCCACGAGTGATGCCTCGAAACGTGTTGTAGTCCAGCGTCTCCGCCTCTTTCTGTGCATCCACAAGTGCCACGTTCCCAACTGCTCGGTCCCATCATGCGCTTCTCGGTGGAGATTCTTCCGCCCAGTCTTCTCCCTTCACCTCCTCCTGCTCTGTAGCAGACCTTCCTGAATCCACTTCTAGATCACTGCAATAGCCAAGAATTGAAACAAAAGTCTCTGAATTTCAAGGGACACAAACTCACCTCCAAGCAGCCCAGGTAAAACAGAATTTGACTGAAAGGAAGGGTGCAGGGTAAAGACTGGTGCGAGCCTTGGACCTCAAGCAGGACTGGGAATAAGAAAATGAATGCTCACCTCCCAGTGGTCCCACCTGCTAATCCTGCTTCTCTCGCCTTCATCCTCTCTGTGCATCCCCAGCATGACCGGAAATAGCACTTGTCCTCCAAAGGGGCAGCCCGCAGCCTCTGCGGCTGAGTTACTCTCCTTCTCAGAATCTGTTTGGAAAAAAGGAGGTGAGGGAGAATCCCCACTAAGCAAACCTCTAGACCGTTTGAACGTGGTCGAGGAGCAATCGAGTAAGGCCGTAGGGACGCTTTTGGAGTGGAGCAGGGCCAGTTCCCAGAACAGGGTGCAGGCTTTTTGCACCACCCCAGATCTGCCCTTGCTTTTTATTCTCCTTGCACCTCCTTCAGAATCTCTCCTAATAACCTACACCCTAAACCAGCTTCACAGCACCCATCCCAGAAGCTTACTCCCTCACCTCTGCAGGCCTTCTTTGAGTCCCTCACACCACACAGGAGCTACTGTTCTGCTATTATTGACCTTACATTAAGAAAAGGGGAGATGCCAGGTTCAACTGACACCCACCTCCGGCAGTGATGTCGCATGTCAGTCTAGCAGCTGGCAGAACCTGACCCCCGCAACATCCATCCACACACATTTGCACACCCAGTGTTGGGCACACCGAGGCCCCAGGATCCTATGGAATCTACAGTTACCCCACCAGCATCCCCACACTCCAGGGAGTGCAACAGTAAATAGCAAATAAAAACAACAGAGAATGAGAGATGAGGAAGAAAGGAAATGGTTTTCTATTTTAGCACCAATATAATGCTTTTTGCTTCTCTTGTTTTTCCTTTTTTAAATGAGGCCTCCCATTTTTATTTTGCACTGAGCCCTGCAAACAATGTAGTCAGTCATATTAGTCACCTAATACTGTGCCAGATATCTAAGAAGTATGGAGTTATATATAGGTTTTTATTATCAGCATTCCAAACTGCTCACATGAAGTCTGACACTTTCATAAGACAAAGGGGTTCCAAAATTATTTCATTTGAACTTCCAAGATAGATAAGATGTGAATATTATGTATATTTTGCAGAAGAAAAAGCTAAATTTAGAAGTCAGAAGATTAAACATGTAACTGATTAGTGGCAAAAGGGGACTCCGTGACCAGGAGCTTGTTTTGCCCTTCAGTGACCCGTGGGGCAGCACAGCAAACTTTTTTTCGCCCTCCTGGAGACAGAATGAGCCAACAGTATTGAGCTGTCTGGAAACTTCTGGGTGTCACAGCGCTAGGAGTATTTGCTGGGCCACTGCCCCAAGGAGTTCCACCCTTCCCTGCATTTATTTTCTTTCTCAAACTTCACAAAACCATAAAAACCAAAGATGACACCTGAGAAGCAGCCATCCAACTCTGAAAACCCAGCTCGAGGCTTGGACAGCGGGACCACAAGATGTGTTTCTTTGCAACTGTTGACTTAAGTCTGTTTACCTGGTGCCTTCTTTCCAATTTCCTTCCCTGGAACTTGTGCAGCCCTCAGGCAGACTGGGGTTTTATGATGTATTCATCACCCATCCCTCCCTAGGACACGGCACCTCTCCCTGCAGCTGTGAAAACCACCCACTTGTACTCAGGCGATGCAGTAAGGATAATTCCTCGGAAATAATACCTGGGTCTGGCCAAAAGGTTTTTCCCAATTGCCCAAGATCTGGTGATAAAAATACCAAATATGGGGTGTAGTGAAAAACAGAGGTCAGACCAACTCACAGGGTAGAGTGGACCAGGAGTCATAATTTGAGATGAAGGAACAGAGACACTGCCAGATGCCAAGCTCCTGAATTTACCCTGGGGTGCCCTGCCTTGCAGATGCTTAGAGTAGAAGGGGAGTCACACCCCAAGAGGCCGTGGCTAAAACAGAGGTGCTGTTGAAACTGAACTAAGCCCAGAAACTGGTTGCCTTGAGTTTCAGATTTTTTTCTAATTACCTTCACTTTCCTGATGGGATTACTAAATAAAAAATGAGTGTAGACTCAGTGGCTAGAATATGAGGCAGCAGTTGAGATTGGTCCTTAATTGGAAAACATACAAATTAGTAGTAGGTAGATACATTTACTATGACCTGTTGTTATCCATTGGACCCTGCATATATAATTTCTAATTCTCACAAAGGTTCTGAATCACATTTCTTATTAAGGGTATCTTAAACATGAAGACATTGAGGTTGGAGAAGAAGCATAACATGTCTCAGTTCACACAATAAATCACACTATCGGTACAATATCTCTCCACCAAGCAAGTTCTACTCATGCTCTGTCCACTAAGCCTCTCCTTTGGGCCATGGTGGCTGCCATTGCTAACATCACAGGAATTCACAACTTGCTTTTCAGGAAGAGGGCCAGTCTCTTAAAGAGCTGGTGGCTTAGGGAACTGCCATCCAGAATCCCAGGGGTGCCTCTCCACTGGTGAAGAAGGCTCACTGTCACAGGTGAAGAAGGAAAACAGGTGCAAAGACGCCTGTCTTTCCATTAGCTAATTAGTTTTGTACCTTATTTCTCTTTTTGCATCTAACCAATTCCCTTACTTATGGAAGCATTTCTTCAAAATATAAATTAAGATCAAGGAAAAGCATTGAGAAGGTATACTTCTATAATTCTGTCTGCTTGGCAAATAGAGAATAAAAGTAAAGATGATACCACCACTATCACCAGGTAGAAATTTGTATCTCTTGAAAACAATCAGTTGTGAAGTTACCTGAATTGTATTAATTCCTGCTCTTGCATCTTGCATTTCAAACAAGGGAGAGGTTTTCTGTAATTACATAGATAGTCAATAAGGTAAATTCCTATATAAGTGCATTTATTTTTCACAGTTTGCATAGAAAATAAATTTTGTTGACTCCCATCTAGTATTCAGTTATTCAGTTGATAGCTACAAAAGAGTAATCAAATTCACTGTGTTGAAATATCATTTTCGTCTTTTTACATTCCCTTTGAAATTAAGGTGCATTCAATACATATACCAACTCCACACAAAAGATATAAGTATTACATATTGCAAACACTAACTAATTAAAAAATTTTAAATACATCATATGTAGAAGATAATACTAGATATCATGGAAGGATGTGGAATTAAAAAGATGTTATTATTTACACAGTAAATAAGATACTCCAGAGTACAAAGGGCAAGAAATAAAGCTGATATTTGCATAAGCAACTGCAGCGTGAACCAGGCAGTAGAAACCCACTGCACAGTGTCAGGCATCCAGAAAGAGGTGCTTTTCCTCATCCAATCTGATCGCCAGAACCCTAGAGATGGATTACAAGCTGCACAAAAATGCTTTCTAAGGAGCTACAGAAAGAAGAGGGTTTTAAATCATTGTCTTTATTATGAACCATAGGACAGGAAAGTTTTATCTTCAACTTACAGAGTTTAAGTAACTTACCTAAGGCTACAGAGTCAGTAGGGGAACAGGGAAATCAACTCAGGCAAGTTTATCTCTTCCATAATCTTCAATTTCCTAGCTATCAAAGGAAAATAACTGGATCAACCTCATATGGATTTGGTGAGAATTAAATGAGTCAATACATGCAAAGGGCTTTGCCTATTTCTCAGCACAATTCAGCAACATAAAGTATTACTGGTGTTATTATTGTCACCAATAACAGTAATAAATTATTGTAACCTTCATTCCTCAGCCTCATTCCTCCAGAATTAAGTCAAAGACTAAGTTTGCCAGCACTTGGTACTTTGTATGGCTTTGTGAAAAGGTCACTTTATCCAAGTGGAAAGTTTCTCAACCATTTTTGAAGCAGCTATTCTATTTATTGGAAGATAATGTGTTCATGGTGGAATAAAAAAAAAACTTTGCACCAAGCGTATTATGTCTATTCAATTGAAATATAAAGTTCTGTCTTCTAGAGGAGAATAAGACTTACTCTAAGAACAGATGGGTTCCCCTGAGGTCTTGCACTAATTACCAGGGGAGCTGCTTCACTGAGTACAGGTCACCCCAAAACGTTTTCTGATGACTGACTACTTCAGATATATTCCTGCAGCACCTCTAATATTCAAGACAGAGGTACACAAGAACAGTGTGCATTACAAGAAGTAGATTAGGCAAACTTCTTATAAAACCAAATTCCAGTCCTTACCTTCTGCAGCACTCCAGCGCTCTAATTGAACCACATTCTAGCCACTGGCCATCTCTCCCTGGCTCCTGGATTCCCCACAGAAATTCTTCCCATTAATTATTCTAGCACTGTGAAAAATGAAGGCAGGGAGTGGCCACTGAAAAAATGGTGGATCACGTGGCTTGACTAAAAACTAAAATCTCAGTCTCAGCACCAACCACGAACCCATTCTGATGTGCCTGGTGACACTGACATAATTTGTCACTCATTTTTTTTTATTTAAGGAGAAAAGAAAAAAAAGTGAAAGGGTACAAGTTATACAGATTTACAGAAGAAAAAATGAACAGTAGGAAATCACTAGTTAATGGATTACATATTGCCATCTTAAAAGTAATTGTTCAAGTCACAAGATTAAAGCTTGTAGAGTGGACATTCCAACAATGATACTGCAAACAGTTCTGTTCAATGATCCAATAAAACTCTGTGATATCATTTTCTATTAAGTGTATAAAATTTGTCACTCATTTCCCTAACGTGGCCACACCACCTGCCCAGCCCTGCTTGGATCTGCTTAATCCATCAGTCATTATCAATGCCAAAACTGAAGATAAGCAGGCTTGTCAAGTTGTTGTTGTTACTGCTATCTTCAATGGCATAGACACCAAGAACTCTTCCAGTATTCAAATCTCAGCATGCCTTTCTGGTTTCCTTATGAAATAATGTCTAACTGCTTGGACCAACATTTTCTGTTTCTATAAATACACAAGCATGTCTCCTAATTAAGTTCTTATGTGAATCGTGTTGAGTCTGTTGGTTTTGGTGACTGTGGGTTTTGGTGCTCTGTGGTTTTGTCCTTTTATTTCAGGAAATACTTCCCCAAGTTATCCTCTCCGTGGCTCATATTCCTCTGTTCAGGGAGCTCACTTTTTGTCAAGCTGTTGCTCATTTTCCTGATCTAGGGGGGAGATGAATTTGGTGCCTACTTGTGAGATATGAAAGAGGGAGATGTTTGTCCTCTACAAAAACAACCATAGAAGAACTAATGAGACCAACATGGTATCAGTCACCAGAGGCCCAGTGTATTTTTTTGTTGTCACTGATCAGTGTGAGCCTGACAACTGTCATATTTAGAAGCACATAAATATCACTTTTCGATTACTGTCTACGGAGTCTCACTGTCTATGGTAAGACTTTAGTTAGGGAGGTTTTCTTCTTAGGATTAAAAATTTTAATGTATTTTACTTAAATAGATTTATGAGTTCAAAGATACAGATTATCAATTTGGAGTTGCTAAGCATCAACGCAATTACAGTAGGGATAAAATGGTGATCACTATCTTTTCCTAGTATGTCACCCATCTTCTCAAAGAGGAGACAAGCAAAAATTGGGGTGTGTTGGATTTGATAAAGGAGTAGATTGTTTAATATTTACCACTAAGGAAATGCAAGCTCTTCCAAATCCATGCCTTCACTGCTGCTTCTCTCTGGAAGCATTCAATGTTTTTTAAAGTTTTTTAAAGTTGTCAATTATTAGGGGCTGCAGAAAATCTGTGTTTACCAAGTCTAAGCCTCTTAAGTGTCCTTTAAGTATCTATGCATGCCTGGTCAACAACAAGTGAAAACTGTAGCGTTCACCAATTTTGTTTGCACCATTAGGGCCTCCATCAGTCTTGCTTCTTTTTCTTCTTTGTGTTTAGAGCCCAAGGGAACAAAGAACAGTGAATGGAATGAAGTATGTGCTGACGTCTCAGACCTTTAAGATGACACTGAAAGTTAAGTGTAGTGGGAGGGACAGATGCTGGAAGGGAAAGTGAATCATTAGTATGGAAGGAATAGAAATAGAGGGCTTTTAATTGTATTCAAGGTCCCTAAGTACCCAGTGAGGATCTGTCTCCTGAAGATCCCTAATCACACATATGTAGTGGTGCACATCTGTAATCTCAGCTCAAGAGGCAGAGATAGGAGGATATCAAGTTCAAGAACAGCCTGGTCAAGGTAATGAGATCATGTATTAGAATTTTAAAAATTGGACTTAAGATATAGTTCAGCAATCTCTGGGTTCAATCCCTGAGTACCATAGAAGACAAAGATGAAGACGAAGACAAAGACGAAGACAAAGATGAAGATGAAGACAGACGAAGAAGAAGAAGAAGAGGAGGAGGAGGAGGAGGGGGAAGAGGAAGAGAAGGAAGAGGAAACTAACTATATACACATGAAGCCACTAACATACCAGAAAGTAAAATGACCATGATCATTGAGATTTCGTATCCAAATTAGAATTTGGGAAATGGAAAATCAAAATACAAGTTTAAACTAGGGGTGTAACTCAGCAGCACAGAACCTGCCTAGCAAATGAGAGGCCCTGAGTTCCATTGCTAGTATTGTGTGTGTGCGTGCGTGTGTGTGTGTGTGTGTGTGTGTGTGTGTGTGTGTTTAGCTTAAAACTCCCTCTGTTTATTTCTCAAAACACAGTCTGTCAAATGAGTTGAGTTTTAGTAGTAGAAGCAAGAGCATTCTTCTCTATGATTTATTTCTTTATTTCTCCTGGTTAATCTCCTAATAAAGAGATCAGTCTTGCTGGTTTGCCCAGGAGTGTCCTGGTTTTAGCACTAAGACTCTTGTTTCTCAGAAACCCCATCATCTGATACACACCCAACATGATCATCACAGAGAGAAAAGGATTATACACAACTTTATACAATTCAGTCTGGCAAGAAAATATACCAGCTTTGTAGTTGGAGTCAGCCCACTCTGATGTTTCTACTTAGTGCAGGCTGGTACCATCCAGCAGGCTTCAGAAGGCAGTATGAGGCTCTTCCTTTGCAAGTGAAAGGATTTTGCCCTGGATGCTGCAGCAGTGGGAGGCTGGGAGGCAGAACCAAGGGGCTCTATCTTGAGGTCATCTTCCCCTCCCATAGGCAATTTACCTGTGGCACGAAATGAATTCCAATGGGCTACTTGTGCATCACTAATGCCCCTTAGGCACCACGCCAGACCAAAGCTATATGTATGCCCCCCAACACCACCTGTCTGGCAGAGAGAAAAGCCAGACATCAGTAGTCGTGGGGTTCTCTCTCTGCATTCTTAGAATAAAGGCCACTTTTATTTCATATTTCTATCTTTCTAGCTATGCCAAAAATTCTATCAGCAAGAACTCTTGGTATCTGGTAGAGCCTCTCATTTAGAGGCCGAGACCAAAGATAACACTCCCTGCATTAGGGCAGCTTGTTGGAGTCTCATTAGCAGCATTGAAGCCTACATGAAACACAGTTCTGAATCCTAAGTCATGGTGCTCCCTAAGGAACACTGCAGTGTGGCCTGGACTTCTGATGGTTACACTGCTTGGTATGTGAGTGATGTGAGGCAGGAGGGGTGCGGCAAAGGCAGCCCTGCACCAATAAGAAATATCACTCATATGTTATGTGACTCAGGTTTGAAGCTATCCTTCAAGTCACTATACACACTGGTCATCATCTGACCCTCAGCCCCAAGGTATAAAGCTATTGGTTGTGTCACAGGATTACATGCCCCTTGGAACTGACAAGTTGGAGCGATGCTTCTCTCAGTGTCATGTGCAAAACTCCCTCTTCCACTCTCACCCTAAGTCTGAACCCTGGATGCGCCTGAGCAGTACATCCACAAGCTATTTCCCTCTCCTCCCCTCAGGCCAGAGATGGCTTTCTCACAGGGCCCCACATGGGGTCCAAGCCACAAACTAAGTCCAGGGAAGCTGAGTTGTCATTCTCAGAGCCACCAGTTGGGCCACAGACTGCTTTGCCTCAAATTCCTACCAGCACATTACCCTTCCTCTATCCATATTTGCAAGAGAATTGTGCTGAGGAGACATGGTGTACCTCCACAGAGGTCAGGCGGAGGTTTTCCAGTTCTGGAATTCACTTCACAAGAAGGTGTTGGCCTGCAGCCCTAAGGGCCCTCAAAACAGGGACACAAAGTCTAAGCTGGCAGCTCTGAGGGACCCCAAGTTTGGAAGAAGAGGAGTCTGTTTCCATGTCTCCTCAGAGATAGATGAGGGGCTTCACTATGGAGGTGAGCTGGCCTCTTGAGTAAATTCAAAACATCTTTAGTACTTCCTGTGTACAGAGCCCTGGAACCTTCTGCTACGAACTGAACTGACAAAATAAGAAAGTGGAACGGAAAGAATTAGATGATTGAGTCCTTACCTTAAAGAGTTTTTAGTTAAACACTTCAGAGATCAAGAAATAAGCATAGAAACGATTTGAGGGATGAGAACATATATAGACTAACTGTGACTCAAAAAAATGACAAATTGAACTTACCTCAAGCTTAAGCTGCCTGGCTTCTTGGGCTCTCAAAGATCTCTATCCAACTGGAAAAAGCTGTGGGTCCTTCTGAAAATTCAGGGCTCTCCAGATGCTTCAGGTTGCTGGCTACTTTTCCAAGGGAACATTTGAAACTAAGAGACTAAGAAGAGATTTTCCTTGACACCAAAGGCTCTTTCTGAGAGAAAGTCCTGTTTATCACTCCTTTCTCACACAGGAAAACTGAAATGAGGTCACTCGATTTCACACACAGCTCCTGGACATGCCCCTCCTTGATTCATTCAATATTTGTGTGTGTGTGTGCATATCCTGTGCCAGCTCCTACACTGACTGGAGATGTGGACCTCAGGAGATTGAATTTCTGCTTGTTATAAAGTTTTCAGGGTTTTCCAGGCCCACGGTAAGATCTGCAAATTTTTAGGCTGGAGAGTAAAATGAGATTCAGGTGAGGGGAGCGTCATGAGGGGAGAGGGTGTCTAATGAGACAGAGACGACTGTGAGACCTAGATCTTCTTTTGCCCTCCTTCTCACCAAGGGTTTCCAAGCTATTGCAAAGTTCAGCCGTATTACTAATGTGAACACGTGAGCATCCTATAGGAATAAAGACTCACTTGTAACCAAGCTCTGTCATTTGCTTCTCCAGGGAAGCTTTTTCAATTGTTATTGCAACCTAGTTTAATAAAGAAAACTACTGAATCCTGATGTCCCCTTCCAGTTTAGATAAGCCCTTTGAATTCCATAATGTTAATAACAATATGGTGACAATGGTTGCTATCTCCAAGACATTAGTGGGAACAGCATTGTCAAACTGCAGATGAGTTCTGTGATGCCTGCCCACCTCAGAGCCACTCTGGAACTGTTAAAAGATTCCAGTCTGTGCCCCTCATTCCTGAGGAATAACTTGCTTCTCCATTTTTCCTATGCATAAGACTTTAGGAGGAATAAACTTATAACAGTTACGTAATAACATTATGAATGAATAAATAAATTTAAATATAAAGTAATTAATGATTGATCACACAAGCGTCTTCTGTAAGCTTACTTTAACTTCAGTAAGAGAAGTATGAAAATTAATTCAGTAAAAGCCACAGTCAACAGAAACTTAAGTAAGCACTGTTTATAACCAAACTCATGGTTTTGCAAAAGGTGCTATTTAGAAAACACCCAAACCTGTGCAACTGAGAAATAAAGGTTAAACTTTTCAAAATAAAATAAAATAAAGCCAATCTAAGCAGGGAAAGTAGGAAGCCTCCAGCTCGTGCGATAAAGCCACAAAACTGCAGGAAGAGCATTTGGGTCAAAAGCCCCAGTCCAGTCCATCAGCCTCATGACAGCACACACTGTACTCTGAGCTTTTCAATGTTTGTGTCCCAAGATATTGGCCAGATGAATTATGAATGTAAAAAACAACACAACATTTTTTCAGTCTTTGGATTTCCAGATCCTGTGGCTTCCATTCAGACCCCACTTTGTAAGGACTGTATGCTTCATGGTCTTTGTTGTTTTCTTCTGCAGTGAGACCAAAAAAAAAAAGAGAGAGAGAACCCCCTTCAGCCCTGGCCAGCTGAGGCTGGAGAGGCATTCCCAGGGTAAAGTCAGGACTCCTATGGTAGCCTGGGTGGCCCTGTCCAGGACCTGATCCTCTCCTTCCTCAAATTATTGGCCTGCTAAAAGGGAAGTATGGTTCACCATGGAGACCCTCTCCAAGGAAAGCAGTGTGGCTTAATGAACTGTTGGAAAAGTATTCAGTTTTCAAGCCTACAAATGCCCTTTGGTAGTTTTCTGATGCTTTGGAACTCCCCCCCCCACTCTTTTTTTTTTTTTTTTTTTTTTTTTTTTGGAAGGCCAAACAAGACAAAACATCAGAGTCTGATTTCTTAGGTTCTAAGGGTCTTTTCCATCTGAAAAGGAATTTCTGTTCTGCTTTTCTGGTAGAACTAAGGATGGGATCTCTTCACTGAACCCTGACTCTCCCTCAATACATGGAAAATAGAATTTTTTTTCAAAATAACTCTGCCCTGTTCTAGTCATTGCTTCCCAACAAGTTCTTTGGTTCAATCAATGTGTCCTTGGAGGCCCAGATTTCTTTCTTCCCTTCACACACCGTGGTCCATGACCACCATGTCTCCAAAAGGTCTACGCTTCACAAATGGGCTCCAAGACTCCTCATTTTGACCCAGATTTCATGGTTGTTGTCTTAACCAAATCCAACAAAGAAAAGTTAAGTAAATGATGAAGAATATATATAATTCAGTTTTCAAAGAATTTTTAATGACAGGTTTAAGTAAAAAGAAGCCAAAAATGAACATATACATAATTTTCATTATGACTTCTATGACATGTGAATCATTTACATGAGATTTATTTTTTTCTTGCCTTTTATTATTATTAAGGAGAAAAAAACCAGAAATAGGGTACAAGTTATACAGAATTTCAGAAAAAAATAAAAAATAGGAAATCACTAGTTAATAGATTACATATTGTTATCTTAGAAATAGTTGTGCAAGTTACAAAATTAAAGCATATAAAGTGGACTTTCAAACAGTGAGACTGGAAATAGTTTTGTTCAATGATCCAACAAAACTCAGTAATATGGTTATCTATCTTATACATTTAAATATATATGCAGTTATATTCTTTAGAACACTTTCTTTTCCTTTCTTTTGTACAATGACAATTACACATTTTGGGTTTTATTACTCCCACAGTTCTTATTACTTTTTTTTGAAGAGAGTAAAACCAAATGTGACATAACAGAACAGAGTCAGTCAAATCAAAAGAATGAACATGATAAGATAATGTAAAAACAAAATACTAGGTGATCAACAATGGTTACCATATTGCCTCTTGCTATCTTAAAAAAATTGCCTATATCATCAGTTATAATAAAATTGAACAAAACAGTAAAGAATAAAATCAAAACATTGGAGACATTACAGGGCTTTAAAAGAAGATAACAGTCAACTGCAATGGGCGTCATAATGAATGTTATTGTCTTTACAGTTTTGCCTATACTTTTGAACTTGGTACTATCAAGCAAAGCAGAATAGAGGAAAATTAGTCAAAGCAAGATGGTGAGGGCTATACAGGGTTTCAAATCAAGTTAATAGGAAATCAAAGTGGGTTACTATAATAATATATCCTGCTTTTTTATTTTTCCCTTAATTAAAAAGAAAAAAATTAAAAAGTAAATAATTAAAAAAAGAAGACTGAGATAAAAGAGGGCATAACAACAAAACAGTGCAGATCAAAACATAACCATTTAGGCAAAATAGTGTTTCACCACAAGACATCCCGACATAAAAGTAGTTACCATAATGTCTCTTTCCTTGAAATCTTTGAGTATAACTTTGTATACTGTAGCACCAAACATATCAAGACAATGCAAAACCATTCAGGAGAACAGTATTACAGGGTATTTAGAACCAACTATCAGAAAATGAGCAACGGTTTTTGTATAATCTCCTTGTCTATAAAAGTTTTTGCTTATATTATCACATATAATAAAATCCAATAAGATACAACCTGTTAAGACTGATGGAGGCAAAAGAATAAAAGCTTGATGGGACTTCAAAGCAAGATGATATTAAATCAGCACTAGCTATTATGATGTCTTGTTTTCTCCAAAATAGCTGTTCCTACCATCCAATCTTCTCGGCCTCATTTCTGTTGAGCTCTTTTTCTGTCGGTTGTTGTCAGTTTTTCTTCTTCATTTTGCTTTCTGCTCCATTTATTGTGGCCTCTCTGCCACTGTTTCTGAAGTCTTGGTATTTTCCTTTTTTAGAATATCCTGCAGTATTCTCTGTAGAGTTGAATTGGTAGTTGCAAGTTCCCCTAGTTCCTCTTTATCCTGAAAGCACCTTGTTTTTCCATCAATTTCTAGGGACAGTTGTGCAGGATATATCAATCTTGGCTGGGGGTTATCTTTCAAAGCTTGAATTATTTCCCCCCACACTCCGTGATTTGATGGTTTGTGCCAAGAAGTCTGCTGTAATGCTGATGGGTGTTCCCTTGTAAGTGATCTGTTTCTTGTCTCTGACGGCTTTAGTATTCTGTTCTTATATTGGATTTCTAGAATTTTGATTATTATATGCATGGATGTAGCTCTGTTTGGGCTGTAGGTGGCTGGAGTCCTGTATGCCTCATACATCTGAGTATCTTTACCTTTTGCTAAATTAGGGAAATTCTCTTGGATTATTTCTGTGAATAGCTTTTGTAGTCCATTTGTTTGTGTCCCCACTTCTTCTCTTATATTCTTAGTTCTTAAGTTATAGATCCTATCATCTTCTAGCCTTTGTATTGTTGCTGTTTGTTTTTTTGTTATTTTTAAGAAGTTTTTTATTTCATGCTCCCATATTACAAATCTGCCCTCCAGTTCAGATAATCTATCTTTAGTTTCTTTCAAGCTGTTATGCCAGTTTTCGATAGAGTTTTTTAGTTTCCTGGTAATCTCTTTGAACCTGCTTCACCTATTCTATGTTGTCTCTATTTTCTCCATCAAACAATTCTCCTTGTTTTTTCTGTTCTTCCATTCTACCATCTATTTTTCTTGGGTGGTGGTGCTTAGCATTTTTCTAACTATTCTACTTATCTCTTGCTTTATTTCATTAAATACTTCATTTTTAAACTCGTCTATGAGGCTCTGGAGATATCGCTTTATGTCTATTGGTGCTGTGCCTGATATTGCATGTTTTCTGTTTTCCTTTGCATTTCACTCTCCTGGATCAGTGTCCTCAGGATTGGGGACTGAGGACCCTTTCTTGTTCCTTCCTCTTCCCATACTTTTTGTTCCTTCCATACAATCGAATGTAGGAGGCCCAATTCTTTTCTTTTTCGGTTACGGTTTGTTTGAATTGCGCCAGCTAGGTGTTCCCACCCACTGCAGTGTACTAGGGAGACACAGACTTGGACAGCCTCTGCTGGGCCCACCCCTCCAGGTCAACCTACCAAAGGCTTCACCACTAGTGTGTACCTCCAGGCGCTGGGACCTCTGTGGCACTCACCTACTGGGACTAAGTCAGTGGTGTCACGCAGGCCAAGCACTCCCCACCAATCCCACTTGAGAGGGGAATATGTGACTGAAGTCACTGCAACGTCCTGTTCTGGCAATTCTGCCTGGTCCCAGTATGTCCTTTGCTGGAGCCTTCTACTCTATGAAAGGGTTCCCGTTCCTCTCACTCACTGCAAGTCCATGTAGGGCTCCTTGTTAATCCTGTTCTCAATTCTGTTCACAGGTTCCTGCTCTTAGATCTTTCGCACATCTCTCTCCCTGCCCTGCAGATTTGGACGCAGCAGCAGCAGCAGGAAATTCAGATTGCGGCTTCTAGTGGCGCGGGTTCTAGTTTCTGTGCTGAGATTTTATCTGTTCCTGTTATACCACCAGGATTGGATTTCCAGTTGGTTTCTCTTAGCTTACTTCATTCCTGGGTCAGCAGGGTGTATTTTCCCTTGCTTAGGACTTGTTGTACTGTAGCATTCCTGGATTCTAAGCAGGGTATCTCAGAGAGCCTCCATAGCTGCTGCTATCTATCCGCCATGTTCTGAGATTTATTTTTTAAGTTGGAAAAGCAGAAGACTGTTTATCAGAAGAATATTGATTCTACAATATTTATCTTTATTATGGACCAGTATATAGTCAGTTTTGAAATAACAAAATTCCAATATGTGCATCCAATAGGATATCATTTGTTTCCATTCTGACCAGATTTTGTGACAGACACTGATTCTAAGGAACCAGGCATCTCTGCTCCAACTTTCTCAGATTGCCAAGGCCATGAGAAGCCATGCAGAGCTCTCTTCCTGTTTCCCTCTGTTTCTTTCCAGTGAAGAAATCCATTTGTCCTGGTTGGTAGAGCTAAAAGATAGTGAGATTCCATGAGCCCCTTCAGACATCCACAGTCTCTGTGGACAAAGTATGAGTGAGAGACAAATTGAAGCAATTAAGTTATAGAAATTCTATCACTGTAACATCATCTCTCTTAACCTCACAAATACAACTCATTAACTGTGCTAATTTTTTCTCATTACCAAGTTAATACATACGTCATAGTCATATATTATGGCATGTATTATGTAATTATGTATGTAATGATTGCTGAGAAAGATGTTCTAAACTTTATGATTATAGCACAATGGAATGTCTATAGTGAGAGTAATTTATAGTATATTTCTAAATAACTAGAAGAAATACTTTTGAACATTTTCAATACAAGAAATGATAAGTGTTTCAGGGTTAGGTATGATAATTACTCTGATTTTGTCATTACACACTGTATTTTGGTACTAAAATATCATACTGTATCCCATATATATGTACAATTAATATGTGTGAATTTAAAATTTTAACAAATTTAAAAATTTTTTAAAAGCTCTTATGATTATATATTTGTCTACATATCCACTTCTCCATAATTTTGTCACTCTTGATAATGGTTTTCATATCATTATAGAGTTACACTGATCACTAATAATTTTTGCCTTAAATTTATTCTGTGATTTTATGGTATTAATATAGCCATCCCAATTATATTTTGATTAGTATTGTCTCATTACATTGTTTTTTACTATACATAACTACTATGTACCTATACATACCACAGTGAATATTTGTATCTACTAATGTAGTTGCAATATATTTTCATTCACTCTATTTTTAATTAATCTCTTCAAACTGACTATAATGATGTAAACTGATACATATTTACTTGTTTCTAACATGTATTTTATGTTTTTATTACATTTTTCTTAGCTTCTTCATAATTCTTAATACATTGGCTTGATCAACTTTTCTTTGTCTTTATTATATATATAGCTGTATTTTTAATACTAGAATATTTACAGTATATTATATATTCTATAATGTATTATATATTATGTAATAATATGTTATATATACTGTAAAATATATTACTACATATATAAACTATCACCAAAATATATGGTAAACATTTAAAGTTTTAAAATATATTACATAAAAGACACACTTATTAATCTCCCTCAAAATATGATGGTTAGCTTTTTACACCCCATCCCATTATTCCTGTCACTTTCTAAAGCAGTTCTGGAAGTCTTTCATGTTTACAAGGTGTGATCAAAAATAAAGTGAATGCAACTACCAAGTGACACCCAATGGAAAACCAAGCTCATAAAAACACAGTGGTATATCTTTATCTAACTTATTCACTGAATCTGCAACTTCCAAGTTTCCCCAAAGTCAAAACAATGATGAAAAAGAAAGACTTTGAATCAGTTCAGAACACTGAGGCACCCATGAAAGTTTGACAAAAAATTCTTAAGAAATTTTTTAAAATTTGAACAATTACTGTATATTTCAATCACATCTCATAGCATGTTTTCATACCTTTGGGACTTTGCTCAAGCTAGATTCCATCTTCACTGTCTTGGAACACTCTTTTTATTTTTTTTAAACACTGACTAACTCAATCTTTATGACTCTCTATATACTGAGAATTAAGTCCTAAGAAGCTTAGTAGTTCACTCACTAGTATTACCCAGTTTCCATATTGTAAGTAGCTCACAGACAATAAAGAGCCTAAATGTTGAAAAACCAAGTCAACAACCTCATCCAAGCTCCCAGTTGGTTTCCAACCACATGAATGCACTTTCTTGTTTACCCAGCACAGGTGAACTTTCAGATGACTCCACTACTAATTAATTTCTTACTACAATCTCATTAGAAAATCCAAAGTGAATTTCCTCTGCAAGTGGAATCAACAAGTGGAACCAGAAGAGACATTGATAAAATGTTGTATTAATACAGTGAACTTAGGGTGATTTCTTTTGCAAGAATTCATAAGCAGAATTCAATCTTGTAATATGCAACCAATAATTAATTTTTAGATGGATTTAAATTTCCTATAATTTAAACATCTACTTCACTTCTAGGGAAAGTAATCCATAGATTATGAAAGTAACTCATAGTTAAAATCCATCAGCTATATATTGAAGGTCTGGTCCATCAGATCCCACATGTATATGTTGAGACTTAATGACAAATATGATGATATTTGGAGGTAAATCTATTGGGAATTGATTTGTCATGAGCATGGAACCCTCATAAATGTATTTAAATGCTCTTATAAACCAGAAAACGTCCCCACTTTATTGTGTGAGGACACAGTAAGAAGATGGCCATCCATGAACAGAAAGGATCTATTACCAGGCCCCTAATTAGATATCACCCCCCTCTTCACATTCCCTGTACATAGAAATGTGAGAAGTAACTTTTGTGTTTTTCACAAATACTCAGTATACAGTAATTTCGTTTCTTAAATGGATTGAGATCTGAATAAAATATCCAACTGAGCATATTTGCTGAATAAATAGGCAGTTAATTTTATAAGTTATCTTTGGCCACTTAATACTCTTTGGAGGTGCTAACCTAAAAAACTTGTAAAATCCACGTATATCTGCCTGCTAACTTGAGAATTAAATGGACTTTCTCTGACGAAAGAACAACTGAACAGAATGAGGTTATAAAAAGTCTAAGCCAGAGAGAGTCCCAAAATAGTGGAGCAGTGAGAACCAGAAACTCAGCTTCTCCAGGATAAAATGACCAGGGTCTAAAAAGCAAATGAAGAGGAACTGAAGTGAGGAGGTTACCTGGGAATGGTGAGGGAAATTATGGAGGGAAAAGAAAATAAGATTAAGTGACGCAGAAGAAAGAGCTCACACTGTGGAGGAGAGACCACGCAGAGCCGCAGCAGCAGCTGATTAGCCACCAACTAGAGGCGAAGTAAAATTAACAACTGTTTTGCTCAAGGACAATCACAAATCTCCTCTGGGACTGACAGAATCACTTGCCATTGGAACCAGCAAGGAAAACACAGGACACCAGTTCCAGAAAAGCTTTCCACAATCAGCAGCTGGTGAGTCATCTCAGTACAAGCGCCCACAGCTACAACTATGGAGCAAGAACTGGCAGAGCCACCATTACAGGCTGTGCATGCTTGAACTTGGGTCCTAGAGCAGCCTCACTGTCACTCTCCCTTCCCTATGACCCCTATGATCTCTGTGATTGGGTCTCTAGAGAGATTGCAAGTTGCTAGGGGTAAGGATAGACTTAGCCTTCTTTTCTCCCACCCATTGCAGTGCTGCTCAAACGCTGAGGTGCAGCTACAGAATTCCTCAAGAGTTGTGCATCTGGAAGTTCAACTGCCACTGCCTTCCAGTCTGTCGCAAGTTATCAGGAACAGACAATTACTGTCTGTTTAAACACCTCCCCAAACAGAGAATTCTCTACCTCAAGAAAGCACAGCTGCTCTAATAACTAAAACCCCTCTGTCTCAAATTAGACTCCTCAAATTAGATCATTTTTGTTTCCCAGCAGGCACAAAAGTCTGCCACCATGCTGCCAGTGTTTAAACTCAACTATAGAAGTACAAGTCTTTTCTCCAAACTAAAATTTCCAAATTGCACTATCCCTACATGAGGCCTTGTTTATCTATATCCTTTACATAAAACATAGTCAAGAATGGAATAATTTAGATGTGGTTTAACCAAGAAAAACAAAATTAACCTCAATACTACACCAGTATTAGAAGAACTTAAAATGTTACTACATTGTGTTTAGCAGTTCCATCAGACAAAGGGTTCATTTGCGGTTTGTGGTAAATAAACACCAAAGTCTGCCTTTAAGCCATGTCCCTCTGTCTTGTATTCAGCCAAGTTATTTTTCCTTAAATATAGGATTCTATGTCTATCCATATTCTATTTCATTCTACAGTTTTGATCAATCCTCAGAGTGTTTTGGAATTATCTAACACACTCGACATAGTTTTGTGGCACAACCCTAATTGAAAAATGAGAAACTTACAGTGCTGTACGTCAACTTGCATCCAGATTGTGGTCTAAGTAATCACTGCTGGGTCACACTACTTAAGAAGTTAGCCAACATACTAAAAAACAAAAAAGTGATTCTCTTGATTTGTTGTTGAAGAGGAATGAATAAATTAAAACAATGATTAGCTTCTGGCACTATTGTAGACACTGAAGATACGTTAGCAAACAGAATAAAGTCCTTTGTGAAATGCTTACATTTCCCGGGGAGCCACACAATAAACAAATAAATATATTGTTCTTAGGGAGCATCAAATACATAGAGAAAATTAAAACAGGGTGAGAGGAATTCATGGAACTTCAGACTTCTAGGTAAAAAAAAAAGTATACTTCTTTTTTCTTTAATTGCTTTAATAGAAAAGACAAAAATGTTCCACATTTCATGTAATATTTAAAATAAACCCAATTTTAAAGCACTCTAATTAGTATTTAGTGAAAATAAATTCATTGAAAGGTAACAATGTCCACAACATTGCTACTACCAAATCTTTACTGATATTTTTGACCCTAATAATATTTGGAAAGTAGGCAAACAAAAATGAAATAGAATATGAATATTTTAAACTATATTTTATGAAATTTTTTATCTTTCTGCTATTCAAGTAGGTTATAATGATATTTCGCTAAAATTTTACCTACTTCAAAGATGTTAAAATAGTCCTCTATCAATTATATGGCACTGCAAATCATTCTGTTTACAAAATTAAAATAAGTGAGGTCTCAATGAGTCTTTCTAGGTAAGAGATAGATTCAGCTTTAAAAAAAAAAAAAGGAAAAGGAAAAGAAAACTTTAACAGAAAATTAGTGACCAGAATAAGAAAATCTGTTCAATCTAGAAAAACACATAATTATTCCACATAATTTGATCTCATTACATCAATGCAACTCAATAAGTAAGTCAACAACATTGTAAGTGGTTAACAAGCTACAGAGTCCTGTTTTTAAACTTACACATAATGATCCTCTTACGGTCATTCAAACTATAAAGTAAAAGCACTAAATCCATTAAAACGATGTACATTTTACCATAATATAACAACAAAATCAATATTGGTACATACTTTTCTTTAAAGTTTACAATTTTAAAAACCTTCAAAATGTTGTGCAGTTGCAAAGTAAACTACTTCATTTCAGCTCCAGTTCTGGTCCAGTCCCAAGGTCTGCCATGCACACAGCCTTGTTCTAACACCATACCCTCAACCAATCAGATTCTCCAGCTCAGCCCAGCCTTGCCCGCAGCCTTCTCCACTCTCAGCTCGGCTGCGGGAAATACTCAGGAAAGGCAGATTATCTGCTCCAAAACCAGAATGCTGGGCAGTAGGATACCCTCTCTTGATAGCCACTGACTAATAGTCTCCTAAAGATAAAATGCATGCAGACCCTTTTTGACTTAACAATTCTTCTGGATGCCATGGTGCATGTCTGTAATTCCAGAATTATCAGGGATTGAGGCCAGAGAAATTCCAAGTTCAAGCTCAGCCTGGGCAACTTAGTAACTTGGTGATAACCTATTTCACAATTTAAAAGAAAGTTAAAGGGACTGGGGATATAGAGCTTAGTGCAAAACCTTCGGTTCAATCCTTAACATCCTAGAACCCCCAAAATATTATATAAACAATATATATGATATATATATTCTTCCTGAAAGAAAAAAAAACCTACTAAAGGAAGTGTAAATGCTTCTATTATATTCTTTCAAAGCCACAAATTTTCACTCTTCCTCTCAATCCTTGTCAGCCAGTTTATCACAGATCCTGTGCTCCAGGGGTTTATTATGAGGCCAAGAGGACAACACACAGAAACCTCAGAGCATTTGCAGGGAGGAGAGAGGAAGCAGGAGAACTCAAGAGAGCCCCTTATGGGGGCTGGAATAACCCGCGACTGCCTCAGAAAGGCAGTGTCATGGGATCTGGAGTAGGAACCGGACAAAACAGGACTGAAGGAGAGTATTCATTAGAGGAAACTTGTGTGTACAGGTGCAGAGAAAGAAGTATTTGTGGCATGAGAGGTGGCGAGCAGGAAACTAGCCCTCCTGCAGCCCTGAGTTTGGCTTTGATGGAAACCTAGGCCCTCTGTGCAGAGACCCCACCCAAGTCACCATAGCTCACAGAAAACTTCCCTTGTGGAGAAAAATCACCCATGTGGCCCTTTGCCCATCACTGCCACCACCATCAAGCAATCAGGGACAGAAATTAAGAGAAAATAACTTATTTCCTTATCCGCTGCGCCAGTTTTCCAAGTTTAATTTTTTACAAATTAAAATTTATCTGGTGTTGGGATAAGGGAGAATTTCTTCAATAAACATCAGATCTCTTAATTTGAAGTAAATATTCACAGACACATGCACTTAAAGAGGTTAGGCTCAATTCCTCAGGGACCCATGGCATCCTTCATGGACCAGGATGCAAAAACAAAGTTCTATTAGCCATAGCCATGTGTTACCTGTCTTCAATGAAAAAGGCTGGAAACTGCCAAGAATGTAAGCCAAGAGAGACCATAAAAGACATATTTCTCTTTCAAGGTGAGTCATTAGGCATAAAGCTGTTCTGTCTGCAATTTCTGAAGCTGCTTGTGCAAGAGCTGGATTGTGAATTTGACTGGCAGCAATTGTAAGGCAGCAGTGCTGAAAACTCATTTGAGTCCTCATGCCAACATGAATGCATGGCATCATTGTGGACAGAGCTGGTGACCAAGAGCATCCTGTGTGAGCACAGTTGCATCACAGAGTAAATATAAAACTCAAACACCACCATGGCCCAAGGCTTTTCCAAAGAAAGCTTTCAACATACATCATCATGAGCAGCACTAGACAGTGCCCATTTGTGCTGCCAGAGATTCTCTCCTCACCGTAGATACAGGGAAACCCTCTCTGGTGTAAAGTGGCCCATTCCAAGGTTCAGAAGTCTTGGATTCATTTTTCCTGTTTGCAGAGAGAGAGAGAACAAACTACATAAAGGGAAGAATTCCAAGGGCTCTTCCAATCAAACGCTAAACTACAAAAGAACTAAAATGCAACTTTCGCTACCCCTCTTTCTCAAAAAATAATGTACCTTTCCCTGTCTGTCTTTTTTTCCAAACCTCTGTCTCACTCCTATGAAAGCAAATCTGCCTTGGACAGCTGCTCAAATCATGCCTCCCAGGACATACTGGATCATTCCAACCTCTACACCATCAGACCTGACAATCTGCTTTCCCTGGAGTGGCCTTTCCTATCCTCCCATGTTATCTAAATCAAATCCACTTTAAATAGCTCTTCCTCAGAAAATGTCCCTGATCAGTGCAGTCTAACTGAAAGCTTCCTGCACCAAGGATTCCAAACTGTCAGTACTAAGTAGCATTAAATAATGACTTTCAGTCTTGTGTAGGAAATCCTGCCTTGTATAACTAATTATTCTGTGAACCAAATCCCCAGCTAATCCAAAGCTTGAGGAGCACATGCTCCACCTCTGATGCATTTTTATATCCAAATACGTAAGTTTCTTTATGTTTAGATATGTGGCCATCAATTCTTCCAATCAATAAAGGTATGAATTAAGAGGCAAATTATTTGGGATTTGGATCATTTATTGATTAAACCAGGTATGATGAAAACCAGATTTCTTTAAGGTACTATGATTAGCCTTTATGTGAGCAATATCTCTTTACTGTTTATAGGACCCAAGACATATTCAATTATGAATCACAGTGTACTGGACTTTTGAAGCCTCCTACTGTTGACTTATGTGGTGGCGTCAAATAGACAAGAATAAAAAGGAGCGTTTTTCAAGGTGATATAAGACCTGGAGGACATTACAATCTTCTGTTTCTAGGACATCTTGGACTTTGGTTTAGGGTCTGTCCAGTTCAAGCATTGATCTACTGAGATTTGGGGGGAAAGCTCTTGGTCAGAAAGAGGAGGAAAGGCCCCTATTAATCTATTTCTACTTCAACTTTTTCCTTGTATTCTCAACTAGTACTCTACTGGATGACAATTGGTTTTTCATTCCAATATTGGTTCTACCTATCCAGGAACAAGGAATAGCTTTCCATTTTCTGATAGTTTTTTCAATCTCCTTTTTCAGAGTTCCATAGTTTTTGTTGTTGTTGTTGTTGTTGTTGTTGTTGTTTGTATTTCTGCCTCTTTATTCACTTTTTTATTTTTGTTTTTTATTTAATTTTAAAAAGAGTAAAACCAAACATAACAAAAAAGAACAAAGCAGATCAGAAGAAAACAAAACATAGATTTCAAAGTAAGACAACAGAAGATCTACAGTGGCTACCACAATGTCTCTTATTTTGTTCTAAATAGTTGTCCATATCATCACACACAATGAATTCAAACAAAACAAAGAAGTATGAAACTGATAAGAACAGAATAATGAAGGCAATACAAACCTTCACAGCCAGACAGTAGGAAAATCAACAATGGCTGCCGTAATGTGTCTTGTTCTCTTCAAAATAACTGTCCCTACATTCATGTATGTTAAAATTAAATAATACAAAATAGACTAAACCCATTCTGAACAAAAAATAAAAGTATTAACTGGATTTCACAGCATGATGATATGGAATCAATTATGGATACCATAAGGTCTGTTTTTCTTCAAAGCAGCTGTTCATTTCATTATGCATAATGTAATCAATTCTCATAGACTATTTAGAAGTCTTTTTTATTTTAAAAAAATAATGATATAGAATTTCAAAACAAAATAATAGAAAATTAACACTAGTTAATATATTGCATATTGTTATTTTTCAAAGTAGTTGTTCAGACTACAAAATATAGGTATAAAAATAATCAAACAATCAAACATTGAAGGGATGAACTGTTCTTTTTGATGAACTAGCAGAGATTTTTGTTTATGATAGAAATCATTTGGTCCTTTCATTTGGTTAATTCTTAAGTAACTTTTCTCAAAGCTATTTTGAATGGTACAAATGTTCTAATTTCTTTCTTGGTGAGTTCATTATTGGTATCAAAGTGCAGTGGCAACAGAAACACTGAAACAACACCCAGTATTTGGAGGTAGATTTATTTATGTTTATGGACAATGACCAGGATCATTCCCAGAATATCAAG